TGATCCGCCCGCCTCGGCCTCCCAAAATGCTTGGATTACAGGCGTGAGCCACCGCGCCCGGCCTTTTTTCGTAATGTTAGTAGACATGGACTTACTCCCTCGTTACCCAGGCTGAGCTCAAACTTCTGAGCTGTAAGAGATGCTCCCGCCTTGACCTTGTGAAGTTCTGGGATTACAGACGTGAGCCCCCATGCCCGGTCACGGTTTTTTTTGTTTTTGTTTTTGTTTTTGAGACAGAGTCACACTCTGTCGCCCATGCTGGAGTGCAGCAGCGCGATTTCGGCTCGCTGCAACCTCTGCCTCCCAGGTTGAAGTGATTCTCCTGCTTCAGCCTCCCACGTAGCTGAGACTACAGGTGTGCCACCGCGCCTGGCTGACTTTTGTATTTTTAGTGGAGACGGGGTCTCACCATGTTGGCCAGGATGGCCTCAAACTCCCTACCTCAGGTGATCTGCCCGCCTCGGCCTCCCAAAATGCGGGGTCACGTGCATGAGCCGCCGTCCCTGGCCCTGGTCAGGCTTTTGAGTTTAGATCCATGAAAGTGTCGCCGCGTCCCTGCTCCCTGCAGGAGGGAGGCCTGTGGGAGCTTCTGCTGTGGCTGTTTACAAGGCTTTGCTCCTGGTGCCTAAGTCTGGAACCTTCTCTGCAGGAGAAGATGAGCAATTACTACCTCAAAGTCGCCCAGAACGCCTTCCTAAACCACACGAAGGATCGCAGCAACAAGTGAGGGGGCCCCTCGGGTCCTGGGCCCCCGGGCAGGGCTGTGCAGCCATCGCCCTTGGTTCCCACCGAGGGACCTCAGGGGCCCTGGATCACAGTGCTGGGCAGCACCCGTGGCCTCAACGTGCCCACCTCGGATGTCCCCTGGGAACGGCCCAGCTCGGGACAGCATGGGGCGTCACCGAGGAACATGCGGGGGCCTCCTGGGCAGAGCCGGGGTCAGTCCCGTCCTCACGGCCCTGTGCGATGCCGCCCCAGCTTTCAGGTCCCTCTGCCCCTGGGTTTCCGCGGTCCTGTGCCGGCAAGGGAGGCGGTCTGATCGTCTGAGGCTTTGCTGGGGCCTCCCTTGGAGGGTGTGGGTGCCCTGGGGTGGGAGATGGAGACACGTTTGTTCCCACGGGAAGCTGGGCACGAGCAGGTCCTGTGTGTTTGGGCGGAGCCTGGGGCCTTGGCCCCCGACCCAGATACTGGACAGGGGTGCACCCTCCAGGCTAGGGGCCCTCCCCACATTGTGCATCCTCCGTGAGCTGCTGCCCAGAGGTCCCCAGTAGGGTGATCGCCCGGTGGCCAGGCTCCCTAACCCCTCCCAAATCCCCTAAGTTTGAGTTTTTTAGTCTCCTGGGCCCCTCCAGCCCCAGTCACGTGTCACATGGAGGATCAAGTCGTGCCGGGCGGCTGTGGCCGAGTCCTCAGGGGTATTGGACTCCCTGGCTCAGCTGCTGCCGGTACACGCTCCTTGGAGCCCTGGCTCCGGTCCTCCCCAGAGAGACAGGGCCGGGGCCCTGCTGAGCCTCCGCTGCACCCGAGCCCCCGAGGTCCTGCTCCTGGCTCGCATGGCCATATTTTTGACTTTGATTCTGGGTCCCACATCCCTGCTCCCAGCACGGCAGGGCTCAGGCAGCAGGAGAAGTGGTGGTCCTGGCACTGCCAATCTGGCTGGGTGAGGGTCAGCGGGGAAGCGCTACACGGGATGAGAACAGAGGCCCAGGTAGCCGGGCGGGGGGACAGCTGGGCGTGGTGGGGCAGGCAGGCGGTGACCAAGGCTGTGCCGCGTCCTCCCGCTGTTTCCGGTGCTCATAAGCTGTCACTTTAAATTCTCCTGGAAAGTCCCCCTGAGGGGGCTGAGGAGCCCCCGTTTCCCTCGGGGCAGCTCCACCGGCAGCCCCAGTGTCCTCATCCCCACTCTGCAGATTCATGCTGGTCCTGGCCAGCCACCACCCCGAGCAGTTACACTGGGACATCCATGACTGCATCGACATGATGGTTCACTTCGACCTGCCGCGGCAGGAGGAGCGGGAGCGCCTGCTGAGAATGTATCTTGACAAGTATGTTCTTAAACCGGCCACAGAAGGAAA